GCTGAAACAACATCTGAGTTGCTTCAGAAATTACGTTCTGCCTATTAGAATGGGAAAACCTTAAATCTAGGGAAGACATTGTGGCTGCAAGAGCTGCAAAGATCGACACAAATATGATTAATGCAGTTGGAGATATTCGTGTAAAGGATGGTGATGATCGGCTTCCATCAGATGGTAGGAAAGAGGGTGCTGACCTTGATGGTTCAAATAAATATGCATCTGGTACTTATACAGAGAAAAGTTGTACTATTGAAGGCCAATTTTTGAATCCAATGGATATTGAGGCTCGATTAAAGGGTGAGCATGCCGTTGTGGATGCCAGCAAAGTATCTTCTAAAAAAAGTGATAAATCCTTTAGACCAAGTGTGTTGCCCATATCAAATCATTTATCCCAAGAAATTGATAACTCAAGGAAAGAAACCAATTTCCAGGGTAAGTTGGAAGAATCTAAGAGAATGGATGTGGCTTGTCCACCATCTCCTTCAGATTGTAATGGACAGTGTCTGCCATCTGATGTGACAAGCCTTCATTCTGCTAAGCAAGTGCCTTCTATTGCTGATAATGAGTCGCAGTCTCACCTCCTTGAGTTGAACACTATCAAGAGTGACATTCAACAGCTGCAGGACTTAATTACCAGCTTAGAATCTTGGAAGCTATCTGTGCGAAAGGAGTTTTTGGGAAGTGATTCTTCTGGCCGACTGTACTGGATTTCGGCCATGCCAGGTGGGTATCCTCAGGTTATTGTTGATGGAAGTTTGGTGTTGCTGAAGAGAAGAAATTTTCTGGGCTACGAGGATCGAGTGCCCTACACTTCAGTTAACTGGAATTTTACTTCTTCCTGCACAGACACTGGTACTAAAGCAGAGGGGTCAAAGGCTTCCTGTCCTTTTCTGTACAATGCCAAAGATGCTATTTCAGTTGGTACACCATGGGCTACATATCACTCAGATGCAGAACTTGAAGGACTCGTTGATTGGTTGAATGATAATGACCCAAAAGAAAAAGAGCTGAAAGAGGCTATTTGGCAGAAGCTAAAGTTCCAGGATTACCAAAGAATGAAAAAATAGGTCCAGGATGAATGCCAAACTGCCTTTTCAATGTCCAATGTTTCTGTAAAGCTTCTTTTTCTAGTTTTCTTGTTACTAAGGCGGCAATGTTACTGGAGAAGAAGTATGGTCCCTGCTTTGAGTTGGAAATAATCGACTTAAAGGAGCGAAGAAAGAAGGTAAAGGTAATTATTGAAGATAAAATATACCCGTGTAAATGCTGAGAAGCTGTTTGGCCCTCCAGAAATCATTGCATCTCTTGCCACAGAACATTTTTTAATGATGTTGAATTCGAGGATCATAATGATGGTAGGTGCAATCTGGGTCTACCAGCTAATGAAAGGTCAAGTCAGTAGGCGATTTTTTGAAAGGAAAGGGGAATATGAAATTTGATATTAATAAGGTAGATTGTACCATTGACACGGAAATTGTTGAAACTTCTAAACGTGGGCATTCTCAGTTGAGCTCAAGGTTGGTAAAATTTCAAAATGAAGAGGAAGTTTGTCCTTATGACTTTGAAGAGATCAGTTCCAAATTTCTGACGAGATTCTAATGAAGAATTAGTGCGGGAAATAGGTCTTATTGGTTCAAATGGGGTTCCATCATTTGTCTCATGCATTGCTCATCTTGTTAGTGATTCTACACTAATTGTTCCTCTTCAGCAAGTAGGGGATTTACAGGATGAGTTGAAGGCTACTGAGAGGCTTGGTTTGTCAAACGGAAACAGGAGTGTGCCTAATGGAATTCATAAAGGTTTATCTGATAATTCTTTCAGAAGATCTGTTGCAAATGAGATTGAAGTGCAAAAGACCAAAAGACCAGTTTTGAGGTGTTTGGAACAAAGGGATAGAGTATCCTTTGCAGATAAGTATTCTCCTGAACTGGGTATTGGTCGCTGCTGTATAATCCCCCAATCTTCATTAAGGCCCTTAATTGGTAAGGTTTCAGAGATTTCGCGGCAACTGAAGATTAATTTACTCGATATGGATGCTGCACTCTCTGAAGAAGCTTTAAGACCATCAAAAGCATGCATGGAAAGGAGATGGGCCTGGCGTTCATTTGCTAAAACTGACAAAACCATATACAAGGTTGGTCTTGATCCCTTTGGGCTTTCTACTAGTACATAGTGCCTTTGTAAATAGTAAGTTTGTAACCATATTCATCATTGACTACATTTTACATCTCCTAAATTGGTAGCGCTAACTAATTCTTTCATGTTCTTTATGAAGCATCTTGTATTGGGTTGGATAATTCCCTAATTCTTTAAGAGTATTGATTTTTATTTCATTGGGTTTGTTGATAGCAGGTTGTGTCATTAACTTTTATCTGAAGTAATGTTAGTTTTCTTTCAAGTGATCTTTTCACTTTGCTGTTTCTGGTTAATTTGTTCATTGTCCATTAGTTTCACGATACATGAACTGAATTAATAGTGCCTTTTGGATTAATATTTGTTTTAAGAACAGATAAAGAAGTTAAATTTTTTGCTTAGAAATTCAGTTTTGTTTCTTACCTTCATGGGGACTTGGTGGGATTGGAGATAATATCCTCTTGTCTTTTCAGATGGTCCAAGCAACAATTGTATTGGAGGATATGATTAAGACTGATTACTTGAGGAATGAATGTGGTATTGGTCATCACTATCTGCTGCTACAAAAGTTTCCACTATGTCTTCTCTAGCACTCCGTATATACTCTCTTGACGCAGCCATTGTTTATTAAAAGTCATTCGAGTTTCATTTGATTGACAATTTGAAGCCCAACAGCTTTCCAGACCCAAAGCTGCTCCCCAACTTGGATCTGCTGGAGAAGTGCAAGGTGATCAGGAAGACTAGCAAGAAAAGGAAGGAACCAGAGAGTTGATTTTTGTGAATAAGGATTTCCAAATCTGAGAGATCTTATTTCAATCAAACTTGATCCCTGCGGCAAGGGAAGCTGGTGGCAGGAATGTGTCACGAGAATATCAGAGGGTCCTAGAATCAGAACCAAAATGTTGGGTTTGCTGGTTCAGATTTGCTGTGACTTTTTGGACCTAGAGTTATGCTGTCATTGCCTCGTCGATAAGGCTAACATAGTAACTTGGATGCTTTGATCCAGAACCAGAATTCGTAGAAGCACCAATGGTGTTGGAAGCCCCATACCAATTGACAACTGAGAATGTATCCAATTTTGGATTGATTTCTGCTGCATCTTTCAGATTACTTTACTGGGAAATGGGCAACTTGCCACAAAGAGCAAAATTTATATACATATACAATATGAATTCATGTGAAAAGAAAAGAAAACAAAATGGATAAGGGTTGAAGTTGAGCAGGTGTAGGCAATATTTCATTCTTTATACATCTTTCTTTGTTTTTCTCCCTCTCCCTTTCTCTCTCTCTACCCTTTTGTTTTTATCTGGTGTCAATGGACGTGCCATATTTCCCAAGAAGAATGAAAATCATGCTTTTTTCTTGTTCTTTTTATGTTCAGGTTTTTTTAGATTTATAAACCCTGCTGACCAGTCCAAAATAGGGGTTGCCTTGTTTGGAATGAAGGTTGCTCTCATACAGCCTTTCCTTTATGGGAATACTGGTGATTCCTTGGGTTCAGTGCTTGTAGGAAAATGCCAATAGCCTGCCTTGGCACGTAGAGACTGGTAATTTCTCTTTCCACTGTACTTCTTTTTGTTCAAATAATTTGAATGGTTTAGAACTTCCCAACTTTGATGGACATGTAATTTCCACTACTCATTGTTTTGTCCTAGTTATTACCTTCCTTTTGTTTTCCCATCAGCTCCTTTTTTACATTTTTTTTTTCAAAAGACTATGAAGGCAGGTGTGGGCTGAGGTGTTTGGTTATGTTATTATAGATGATGGAAACTACAGAACTGCAGGTTCTTGTATGGTTTGATTTGGGCATCAGTCCATCATTTTATGGGTTACTAATGTGTATGTGGCAATGAATTTCCCTTTTTTGGGTCTGATAACTCGATATTATAGTCATTCCAGGTCTGTGGTCTCTTTATTCTTGAGCTATATAGAATGCAATTTCTCCCCTTGCCCTTCACCAAACATTTTGTTATTTAGTTTGCCAAGATACCAGGGTTGTCTACTTCACTAAGATTTCTGATTCTAATTATATGTCTTATGTAGAGATTTGCTATAGAATTTTTTCTGAATTTAGCAGCAACTATGTTGGCCATTGCCTACTCACTACAAAGTCCTAGCAACTCTAGAATAAAAGAAAATAAACAAAGAGAGAAATGAAACCCCACCATAGGATTGAGTTCTTGTGGTTGATGTTTTATCAATTGAACTCTAAAGCTACAAAATTGGGAATGTAGTCAAATTGCATATATGCTTTGGAGTGAGAAGGTAAGATGGAAAGGACAAGAAGGAAAAGAGAGTTGGAGGTGGGACAGAACAGATTCTAATAAATTTAGTATGTAAGGGATTTGTGAGGTGGTTTTGTACTGCTTCACATGAACCGTCTTCATGGAGTTGACGATTGGAGCCCACTTTAGGACAAAAAATATTTGACCCTAAACAATTCAAATGTCACTTTTGTCTTCGTTGGCCTTTTGATTTTCATGTCTTGATTATGTCATCCTTCGTTGTAGCACAGCTTTTGTAGGCCATTGTTGGTTACCGGATCACAGGTGGTGTTGGGATTTGATTCTTGTTTTTCGAGTAGGAGATCATGCATCAGTTATTAAACCAAATGATTGGGTGTAATTTAGTGCCCAATTATTGATTTCAGTTCTTCTGGTCATGAATTGATTAGTTGTCCTCTTTTTCATTTGAGAAAAGAGGGCTGATCTTGTAACTCAGATTCAAGATTGCTTAGTTATCAATTTGGATTCTTGAAGAGTTACTTGTACAAAGTCTGCAAATAATTTTCATTTTATGTTTGTTTGTGTTTATATTGCTTTAAACTAAGGACTATAATAAGCGCAAAAAGGAAGGAGTTTCTGTAACTTAAAACTTAAAACAAACTTTAGACAATTTTATTCATTAACTTCACCCAACACACTTTGACTTCTGACATCACTCTTTGGTTTTTTTTTTTTAATGGTTTTCCTGATAACGCATTGTAATTTCTTGTTGTCTTAAAAGCATGACATACCATAAAAGCAGTGCAGATATTATTGAAAGGATCCTTTAGGACCAGACCCACCATCCTATTGTCTCCTCATGCTGCTGCTCACTGGCTGTGAACACATTGGAGAAGAAACTCCGACCATCATCACTGCCATCATCATCGATCGGGCCAACGCATCCGGGGTATTCATCATTTGTAAAGTATGAATCACCGCTGTCCACAAGCTGTGGAGCATCCTCATCCACCACCGCACTCCCAGCACTGCCGGTACTCTGACCGTCCTCAACCTTCACACTGAATTGGAAGGAGGAAAACAGCTCAGCTGGGAGGAGTTCATCCTTTTGACCTCTTATTGCTTCTCTTGCCCCATCTCTGGCCTGTAGTTTTTCAGTCAAGGAAGCTACCTACAGAGACCAAACAATAATAATAAAAAAAAAGATGTTAAATTGTCGCATTCTTGTGAATAAGATGAATTAATTCCTTTCTTATAAGCAATCAATTGTCAAATAATTTGCTTGTGATATATTACAACAACCCAAATTAAATTTTCTTATCTTAAAGTGGAGGAGTCCTATTCATATTGAGAAAGCTACAAAGGTATGTTCCTCTTTTAGTTTACTTTAAAAGTTGTCACTGAAAATCAAGGTGGGGTTAGCAACAGATGCTGTGTTACAAAAACACATGGTTTTGTTTTAGAAAATGTCAGAATCTCCATACCACCCACGACAACAAGCAAAATATGCATTCATCTAGGGCCAAGTGTCCCCAAGAATATCATCTTTTTAACATCTTTTCAACTTGTTTATATAAATTCACTGCTAAGAACTTTAAAAATCCAGCCAGTTATCCTCCCAAATTAATTAAAATATGAATCCTGATACCCTTCTTTTTATTATCAGAATGCAATTTATTTATTTACTTATTTTTTGTAAAAATAAATATGATACCCGTAAGACTTTCACAACTTTTTTTTTTAAAGATTCTGATTTCTTTTATAAAGGAAAAAAAATGAATTTGATGATGTTTGAATGTTAGTGCAATGGGAGCTGCATTAAGAAAGTATTATCTTAACATTTAACACACAAGTATTTAGAGTTTGAAATCTAAATTCGAGCCTCGTTACTAGCATTCATCATCTTCTTCTTCTGAATATTCCAATAATGTATCGATACCATATATACGGGATTTGATTTATATATAATATTTATCTACACATATATTCATGTTATGTAACATGAAAATTGATTTAATCATTAGGTTAAATGGGCAAAGTACCTCAGATTTCAGCTTCTCATTCGCCTTCACAATAGAGTCATAATTTGATTGAAGGGAATCATAAGAAGATTTAAGGTCATCATACTCCCTTTCAAGCTGCTTTGTCTTCCACCTAGCCCGGCGGTTCTGGAACCACACAGCCACCTGCCTTGGCTCCAGCCCTAGCTTCTTAGCCAACTGGGTTTTTCTCTCTGGCTCCAGCTTGTTTTCTGCCTCAAAGCTCTTCTCTAGCAGATGCACCTTCACATCAAATAACCCTTCATTTTCATCAAATTCCCATATTTTCTAAAGCTGATCAAATCAAACTTTAATTTACTCTTTGTCACAAATCATACAAGTTTTTTGTTTTTTTTGGGAGTTTGGGTTTATTTGATTCGCTATAATCTCAAACTAATATCAAAATAAAAGATAATTTGATTCTGATATGGTGAATAATATCGTTCAAATCTTAAAAAATGTTGGAACATGTTCTTATTCATATAATATTCAATAATTAAGCATCATGCTACCAATGTAAAAAATAACTTTCGAGACTATCTTTCACTGACCTGCTCCAACGTCAGGCGACGCTTTTTCTCCGGCAACTGCTCGTCGTAGTACTCTTCATCGTAAAAGTCCTCCGGCGAGCTGAAGTAGAGTCGCCTTTTAGAGGTATCTTCCATGCTAATCATCGTTCTTGCCCCTTACAGAAACATTTGTTTGATTAACCATAAGTGTATAACTCAAATAAACTTGACAAATAAACAACAGAACTGCAATAAAAACATAAGACGACGAAAAGAAAATCACCTCGAAATATGGGTTCACTGTTTCCGAGGAACAACATGTTGCTGTGGCGTGTTGAAGGATTGAAGAAAAGACGGCCAGGCTCCATCTTTTCTGTACCTTCTCTTCTCACTGTATCTATACGTGTATGTATGTAAAATTTGTGTCCAAACTTTTCGGTGACGATATTTGGTCAGTAAACAGACACAAGAGATTTTGTAACTTAAGAAACAAGGGAGATTTTTACACAGAAAATTTCTGCGTTTTGTTTTGTATAAGTTAAAAGATCATAAGCTTATGGCGAAAAAAACTTGTAGTCCACAGCAACCTTGCCGGAGTCTCCAAGGGACAAATACAAAATCCCATCACACTAAACCGAGTGAAAGAAAAAAGCCTGTAAAAATGAAAAATCTAATAGACGCGATTTTTTAGCGACGAAGGAAATCTAATTTTCCATCATCGCAAGAAAAATTGAGACTCAAAACCTAGTTTTCTGATGGAGTTTTGGTTTGGAAGAAGCTTTGGCAACGAAGAAAGGAAGAAGAAAAAAGAAAGAGAAAGAATTATTTGTCGCCCTAAGTGTCGCTAGTAAATGGTTTTTGTAGCTAAAGGTTCGTCGAGAGGAAGGTTACGATTATTTATACTGAGTTTGGTGTGTCAAAGAACGAAAATACCCTTGGAAAATGATGTTTTCTATTTCAAAAGAAGGGTGTAATGGTATTTTTATGACCTAGTCAGTGGCCTAGTGGGGACTAGGGTGGGATGCACCAACTTGCCCAGGAGGTGGAGTTGTTGTTGGATAGATTTTGACCGTTTGATTTGAATATTTTATAGTCGACGGTTGTGATGTAATCTTGGGTGCATATTAGTTTGTGCCGGAGTGTTTAATAGGGCCCATGCTTTGCGGTAGGGGGGACTGTCCGATCTAGTTGACTCAATCTTATTGGACTGCTATTAACGGCTGTGATTTTCCCTGTTTTAAATCATATTCTTTCGGGTACATTAAAGTTTGGTTAGAGGAGTTTTCCCCGTTTCGAGTTTAATTAGGTCTCGACGAGAATATATATTAAATTTATAAAATTATTTATAAAAAAATATTTATAATAAAAATTAAATTTAAATCTTACAAACGAATTTTTTATTTTTATTAACATAATTAATTTTACTGGCGGTTTTCAATCCTTTTTCTATATTTTGAAAAAGAATGAAAATTCTGTCGTTCTTTTTATTTATTTGGTTGAGAAGATGGAATGAGAAAAGTAGAAAAAAAAATGCCTCATAATACATGATAGGCTATGGAATTTGTGAATTGGATGGCTATCCCATGATGGCTTTGTTGATCAAAAGAAAGTTGGATACTATTGTCTTGTTATGGTGATGCATTTCCTTACACAAAATATGGGTACCTTATTGCCAACCACTTTAAAAAGCTAGAGTTAGAAAAAATATTTAATATTAAAATTTATATTTGATGTATTATCAGTATATAAATTTTATATATGATCAATAAATTATATAATGTTACTATATTAATAAGCAAACATAAATTTTTATAAACCTTTGAAAAAAATATATAAAAATTTAATATTAAAAAAATTATTAATAAAGTGATATTATATAATTCATTAATAATAATTTATACATTAATAGTGTAGCAAATATAAAAATCTTAATTTCATATAAAGTTCCTTTTCCTCTTTAATTTAAACAAAAATGAAACTTTTCTAATCATATTTCTAAATAATAATGTTCAAGAACATGACATTAGGTCACCCTTTGATGCATAGAAAGACAATATGGGCCTATGTAATAGTTAACAAATCTCAATCATCAAAGGTCTATTAACAAAAAAGTGTGGCTAGTGATGAGAGTTGAAAATAGATTAAATTTTCCTCAAGCAAAAAAAAAAAAAAAAGACTATAGACTAAAAATTCTTTTGAATGTGGGCCATTAAAATTTGGATTTACAATTTTTTTTTCTCTTGATAATGACTTTTTTTCGGTCATACCGTCAGAAATATTTTTAAATTTTGTCTGAATCTAATCTGTCTAATTTGATATATACATAAACTATATAACATAAACATTATTATAATAAAGTACAATATTAAATAACATTAGTTGATCTATCAATGTGCAAATGCTAGCACAAGCAAAACCTTAAGATAGTGCCAAAATATGTGTCTCCACTTTGCTTGAATCTGATTAGATGGTTGGTTGCTTAGTGCACCCATCCACTATCTTCAATTTTTAGTTATTTAATTGGAATATTCAATTTGGAATACATAGAACCTGAATATTATAAATTACTTCTCCCTCCAAATTTCATTTTATTATTAATACTTTAGAATAAGTTATAAGAAAATATTAAGTATACATTGTATCAAGGAGCAATAAATTGGAGATTAATTTTTTAATTAATTTTATGGCTAGCATTAAAGTTTAAATTAAAAAAAAAAAAAGTCCAACTGTACCATTAACTTATACCTTTATTTTACTTTGTTTTTAAATACTCTAAGTCCAACCATACTATATATATAACAACATTATACAAACCCACATGAATAAAATTCATAACTTTATATAATTTAATATCAATATCTATGAAAAATTATTTGATATACTAATAGTAAAATTTTTTAATTTCACACAAATGTAATTAAGATGATAATATCTGTCTCCTCCCTCCACACACACACACACACACACACATATATCCTAATAACTGTGTGATTTTCAAGTTTTAAGACTTATCATACATGGATTAATCCGTACAACTTTATATCAGTTTATTTATTTCCCTTATTAACGGTTAATTTTTTTGTTAAATGTATATTATCATTGTTTGATCATAATTATAATTTAATAATAAATGTAATTTCATAAGAAAATCATGTTAGAAATATTTTAAAAAATAATCTTAAATTCAAGTCTTAACATTTTCACAATATGATATGAAAATGAAAATTAACGAGTTATCTTATTCTGTATCTCAATTAATAAATTGATTTATGAAAAAAAAAAAAAGACCCTAAGAATCAAAACTTTTCTTAATTTGGCAGTGAGAAGAAAAAAGATAAATAACAAAGCACAAAACCAAATATTTTAAGTAAAGAAAGAAACCTTCAACCAAAAGAAGGTAAAAAAACCATTTTAAAGAATATTATTATTATTATTATTATTTTGGTCAACTTGCTAACAAAAGGAAGAAAAAGAAAAGAAAGAAGAGTGATTTAATACCTCAAGTTTCCTTATCATGATATCATTGATTTGCATTTCAATTTATTAATTTATTGATTTACTTTAATTTCAAGTTAATCCATTTTGTTATTATAAAAGAAACAAATTCATCCATTGACCAAGATTCCCTACTTCCCTTCATGTGAAAATTAAAATTTTAGGTAGAAAAGCTTTGACATCATCAATGTCTAGGTTAATGGACATTAGCTTATTTTCCATAATTAATAATCTTGAAACTAGGAGCCAAAGCCAGGGGGTGAAGTACATGTTGGAAGAGATATGAGAAAAATTAATTTTGATAAGTCAGCTCTATTTTTTTCGCAGCAACACAAAGGAAATAAGGGGAAAGTGAGATTAAAGACATGCTAGGGTGTTCATAGACGTCCAAATTCTAAAAAATAAAAAAATTTGAAGAAAATTTTTCTTTGACATCTTGAAAATTTTCTCATATCTTTTTTAATTTTCTAACCACTCTACTTACCAGCATTATGCTTGATACTTAACAACAATCATAGCCAACCAACACTTAAAGTAAGGATGATTATCATTCTATTTCATCCACGATCATCTTATGTATCAAACTTATCCTAAAAACTTAAGGTAATTTTGATAAAGGAAAAAGATTTTCTCTATTACTTTTTAAATAATAAAAGTTTTCACTCCTTTATCTAATGCACTTTCATCTAAATCTATAATTAATATTTAATGATTTGAAATTGAATATGAAAATAAATATAAATTAATTAAAAAATAAAAATGATTTGAATAAATATCAATCACAAATTTAAGTGAAATTACATTTTTTATCCTTAGATAAAATAGTGAAAACTTCTATTTTTTAAGTAGCAATCTTTTCCCTTTGAAGAAGGGTAAGATGAAGGATTGCAATGGGCAATTAATTTGAATATGGAAGGATAAATGATTCTCTTTTACTGCATTCTTTTTGGCTCAATTCCCGAGAGGTGATTGGGTTGAAAATAGTCTTGTGAAAGATCTTATAAATGAAAATACAATGAAGTGGAAATGGTATATTTTCTCCAGGATATGATGTTCGTAATAGAAGAAGCAAATGCAATTAGTGCAATACCAGTCAGCAAAGCAGACCTTTCTGATGTTTTACCATGCACTATGACAGTACTGGTGCATATACTGTGAACAATAGTTATAAAATGGTGTGTGAAGAACTCGGAGATTAACTCAGTTGGTTCACGCAATTATTTAAGAGGAGACATCTAATAAGTCTGGATTGATTTCGAATCCCGGCACTTGTAACTCATTTATCTATTCTCAGATATATATAAAATAAAAGGGGTCTGAGGGGGAAGGATCTGTACAGCAGCATAACTCAAACAAGATTGAAATTTCATGTGGAGACCTACTCATGGTTAACCTTGCAAGGTGTAGATTACAAGCGGAGAAAACATGCTTTCAATGTGGACAACCTGAGGAAACAGTTAAACATGCTTTGAAAGAATGTCCCTTAGCAGCGGAGGTTTCAAATCTTCTTGATTTTCCTGGGGCCCTGACAGTGATGAGCAAGAGGAGATGGAAACTAGGATAATGCAGGCTGTGAAATCTTTGAATCGGCAATGGTTCGGACAATTGATGATAGCATCTTGGGTTATCTGAAATAATTAATAGGAATAAGGAACTGCTTGATGAAGTAAGGAGGATCCATCTCGCATTAGCAAATCTTGCCAATCAGTATCTACACGAAATGGAGCTCTGGTGATAACAAATGGCAGTTGGCACCTCCTATTGGTCTGTACAAAGTTAATATTGTGGGTGCCAGAAGGGAGGAATCAATGTTGTGATTTGGGACTCAAATGGGGTAGTGTTGGAAGCTCATCCTGCTAATTTCCATGGATAACAGATCGTATTTTTGTGGAAGCTACACCTGTTATTTCAGCCCTTCAGTTTGTTTTAAAAAAAAAAAAATCTTGCCTGTGATCCAAGAGTTAAGGAAATTGAAGAACTAAGTGTCATTTAAAAACAACTTAAAACTTGGTTTAAAAATAAAATAAAATAAAATAAGATATAGCTATTTTCTCATATGTTAGCCAATTGTCTCAAGAGCATTTCACCTATAATTTTACTTATTATAATGCTGCAATTAGTCAAATCACAAGAAAAAATTATATAGGAATCCACTACTTAAAACAACGAATTCTACAAAAGAAATTTTATGAACCTTACATAATATTATATTGATTAATTATACTATAATAATCATAGAGGATACAGTTTTATCTCAAGATTATTTCACCTATATATCATACGTCATCCGTCATCCCCCATGAAAATCAGAACAAAAAAAAAATATTAATAAGGACTTCCCATATAAGAAGGAATGGATTTCACTTCTCCCAAAAGATAACAATGGCTAAAAGAATTTTTTTTAGGCGAGATTTGTAGCAATCTCCAACCTTTATTCAAGCCTTTTATTCCCTTTTCCACTAAGCATGATTTCTCACTTAATTAATGGAATCAAGGAAACAGACAATTATTTACTATCTTTACATTGCACTTAACACAAAAACCAATAGTCCCTGCATATTTGTCTTGGAATTTTTCTTTTTCTTTTTTTTTTGTAGTTTAAATTCTGTCAAATTATCAAAAAAAAAATTGAAATTTTCATGCAAATATTCTCCACTCTAGACAATTATCTCAACTTTTGTTCTATCTTAATTAATTAATAGAAATTAACCCTATCTTAATTATTAATGGAGTACATTTGGCTCCCATTGAAATTTTCTAGTTCCATATTAGAGAGTTATGACCAATCATTATATAAAAAAATCAATGATAATCACAATCTTGAAATTTCTTGAATTAGTTCTCAAGGATATAAGAATCAAGCACATTTGTCATCAACATTTAGTTTGAGAGAATATTTTCTTGATTGCAAACATGTACCATATTCTCTATCTCATAGGAAAGTAGAGTTGCTTTTGTTAATTTTTTTTTCCTTCACAACTAGGGCAAAAGGAATAAAATCATGGTATCTTTTTTACTAAAAAAAAAAAAGGGGGTTTTCTTTTCCTTTTGGAGATTGTATTTGCTTTTATTTTGTCTTTATTAGTGATAAAAAGGGAGGAAAAATTGTAAAAAGGAAGAGAGAGAATAACGTGCAATTCGTGTATTTTTACCTTGTAAAATATTAATAATTTGTATATTTGTGTTGTATTTTACATAAAAATCATGTCACAATTCGTATCGATATGAAAATATAAAATATATTTTTTGTGTTTTATTAAATTAATTTATTATTTTTATTAAAATTTTGAACCGTATCATTTCATATTTTTTATTTATATAATTTTTATATTATATTATCGTATCGTATTTAATATTGTGAAGTCAAAAAGAAAGAATATTGCTTTTGAGACTATATATTTGAGAGAATATGTGCTTCTATGTGTATGGCTAATAAAAGATGTTGATGAGTGGGCTCATAAAGTACCGCTGCTACTTTCCTTCTGCCTTCCTCTTCTTTTTTTAACAAATGCCAACAATTCTATGACTATTTGTCACTTGAAATTTTTAGCTATTCTTATGTCTTGGTCTACAGAACTAGTCAGTCTCTCTGTCTTTGGTTTTTCTCTTCTCATTCAGGGCCATCCACTATGCTTTTATCAACCTTTAAGGAGGTTTAAAAGCACAATGTTTGTCACAAACTATTCAAATTTTCTTCATTGACACAACAATTCAATTTTGAATCTTTAGAGTGAAGTGATAATTGGCATATTAATTTTATCTATGCGTGTGAATTGCGTGGAAAACGATTAGATAAGGACACGAATATTTTTAATAAATTATCAATAATTGATTAATCATGTCAAATTCAACAAAAATATATTTGAACATTTGATTCAATAACAAATATATATATATATATATATCTATATATATTTGGAACTTTACACTAGGTAAAAATTGATGGGATTGAGAAATGTATGGCCTAGATTGAAAGATTCACGAAATTTGAATTCTTCAATCAACAAAATATTCGCTCATTACTGTAATATTCTCATTCAAAAAGCAAAACTCGAATATCTCTTCTACTTTCTTTTTTTTTCAAATCAAAAGAAAATGAGGGACTAATTGCATCTCAATTTGCAATTCAAATACCATGACTTTCAATTCCTTAATGTGTTGGTTACACAAAAACCATGACTTAATGAAAATCACGAAGAGAAATAAGACAATGACTTTAACAACAAATATCATCAGATAATGGCATGAAACAGACCATTTTTTCGTTTCCCAACTGAAGAGAAGCTGAGTAGGTGATAATGGTGGCAAACAGGGAGGGAGGTAGGTAGGAGACCAAGAAACCTGTAAAAATTTCATGTTCATTTAATTTACCAGGAACAGGTTAGTCCTTTATGATACGCAATTCTTCACCACCATCCAGGGTATAACATGTAGCACCTGCAAAATGCTGGGAATCTGCAACTTCAACCATGTATGGTCAATTTTGGGGAAATGCTTTGGCTTATCAAGAATCTTTTTGCAATCTCAATAGATGCCAAGCTTTAACTAGAGTTTTTTTTTTTTTTTTATCATTGAAAGAAAAGGATTTAAATTCAATTCTGAGCACAATACATACAGCTACATTCGATAATCGAAAAGGATTCGAATTCAACTCTTTGAGTATGATGGTGGGTAACTGGAATCCAATATGATTTCAATCTGAAATAAAAATGTTTGTTCTTAACATTGAGAGATTCCAAATATCTCTCCCATGGATGAACATAGGCCTTGCTACTTGCCAATCACAAAGCATTACTATTTAACACACTTTTGCTCAAATGAATGTCAGAGTCACACTTATAACTTACTGTTTAAAGAAATGTTTCCCATCAGCATCAAATTAATGCTTTTAACTGCTATGATATTGCTAAGACTATAATTTCTTCAGATTTGGAAAGCTTATAATTTGATTAATTTTCACAGCTTACCACAATGCACTCTGGAGGAGTAACTTGGGTCTGTTTGTATTTTCATCAACTCCAATGACATGATGTGGTGGGATTTAACTGAATTCTCAGTTAGGAAAGATTTGAGTCATTGCATTCAACTTTTGGGTTGTAGTATTACGTACAGAAATTCATCAGCTAACATATAGCTTTCTGATATTTGTGTTTTACAAGTACTATACTGCTGCCATCTTGCTTTGGATCCTTCATTTCCCTCTTGCAGTACTCTTCCTCCTTTTTCTAAGGATTCATTGGTAAGTTATTTGAAGTCTTGAGCTCCTTTGTATGACATTCCAGCAAGACATGGGTGCATTGCATTTCGAAAATAAGGCCTGTTCAGAGGTCTTTCACCTGTTAGTTCTTCAAGGTCCAGCTCCAGACTCTTTCAGCCTCAGATCATTTTCAGTCCATATCATTTTTGCCATGTGACTGGACAGAAGTATTGGTTAACCCTACTAGTTATCCAATGTTTCCTCAATTTACACTAGGCCAAACCCCAATCTATTTGACCATTTTTTCATACCAAAAACTCATGCCCAAAGATCTGCCATTGTTGGAATCCTATTTGTAGTGCTAATGTATGCTTCACCTCTTACCATCATGGTAAGTCATATCTTTTTTTTTTTGGATAAATTAAATTATTAGTCACTCAATTACGGTAGTATTTTTAAAATGATCACTAAATTATTAAAAATTTCAATTTAACCAATAAATTTTGAATAAATTTTTTTTTTTTTAATCACTCGACTCTTAGTCTCTAATGATGTATTGACATGATAATGTTACAATAACAAAATTTATTTTTTTGAAATTTATAGTGTCGCATTAACAATACCACATAGCATATTGTTGACATGATAATATCATGTGATACTTGATAACCGTATACTATTAAAAATTAATGATTGAGTGATAAAAAAAATTTTATTTAAAATTTTAGTCACTAAATTAAAAGTTTTAATAATTAGGTTATCACTTTAAAAAAATATATAGTTGAATGATCAATGATATATTTTATTTCAGTTTTTGTCTGTACCTTTATTTAGTCATATAAGATTTAAATTTATCATTCTATTTAGAATGATAATCAAATTTACCTCTATTTTTGAACTACTGCAAATTTATTATTATATTTTTAATTTGATTAAAAATTTATCAAAAGGTAATAACAAGATAATAATATTTCGTGAGGATATAATGGGATATTTTATAAAATATTTTAATTCTCAATTATACTGGAACTAAATTAAAAGTATAATAGTAAAATTACAACAATTCAAAATAAATGGTAAATTTGATCCATGACTTATGAGTGATAAATCTGGACCTTATCCCTTAATTAATGAACCGATCTTTCTATTTTTTCTATTTGAAACGGGTTTTCTATTCTCTTTTTTTTTTTTTTTTTGTCTATTTCAATTTTTATTTGGCGAATTGGGTTATCTATAGTGCATTGTGTTCTTTCTTTAAAACTTGAGTCTTGCTTCCGTCCAATAGCATTGAAATGTGCCATGCTTGATTATGAGACATTCAAATGTTAGATCAATGACATCGAATTTTTTCGTATTTAAGTTATTCAAAGTCTAAATTATTTTTTTAGATTGAGAATTGAATTTTTTTTAATCAAATCAAGATCGAGCTTTTTGAAATTGTTTTAAGTTCTTGGTCATTTTCTCAACTCTAATACTGTATAGTCCAACTTCAATTAAAAAAAAAAAGTGAAGTCTCTCAAATTTTGAATTAATCCAAAATATTGTTTTTCAAAATCTGAATTAAACTAACAACAGGGCAAGCAACAAAAAAAAAAATTCTAAAACAAATATTCTTAATCGAAAATGTTAACCAGTGCTGGCATGGCAAATCTCTATTGGTCAAGGCACTGGAAATTTGGAAAGCCAAAATCTTCCCTCAAATTATTATTATTATTATTATTGTGCCAAAAAAAATTCCCTCAATTCAATTAGCAAAAAAGAAAAAGAAGCAATGTATTCCAACATTCAGATTATGGCAGCTTACGTAATTTCGTTGAAATTCGACACTAATTGCATATCCTCTGCAACAACCGCCGCAACGGTTTAAACGCCGCGTCACACTTCTTCCCCCGATTACCCAAAGCCACGACGCCATGCAATTCGCATGCACAAAAAATTTTCATCAAATTTAATTAGAATTAATGGATAATTAGGATCAGTGGATAACTAAAAATTTTATTGTTTGAAAACGAATTTTCGTTTGAAAAGGTAAAATCTTATCTCATCGGATTTCTTCTCCAACTAGTAATCCTTCTTATTGAAAGCACGATCTCATAAATCTTAGCACTTTGCTCCAATTTCTCTCTCGTTTTCTGTATTTGCTGCTAAAAGCTTTCAAAGATGGGACTTGCTCGGAACATCGTCGGCATTATCGGTATCTCTCTATTTCCGGTTTGTCTATCTTTTTTTTTTCTAATTTTTTTTGTTGATTTTCATGATCAGTGAGGAGCTAAGGTGAATGTGTTTTGATTTACTCGAGGTTTTTTTTTTTTTAAGAAGCTTCGAAGCTTGATCGATAAGCATCCATGTTCCGATAGTTTTCAAATTTATTTCTGTTTCATTTTTTTTTAAAAGTAAATATGAACTGAAAATATTAATAACGTTAAGTTTTTACATTGATGAATCTGTGAGGATTCAACAGATATTCTACTTTCATTTCTTTTTCAGTATTTATTTATTATATTTCTTTTACTATTTTATACTTTATTATTTTTATTATTGAAGGTTTTCGTATGATTATATCTTAATAATTACACTTTTTTTCAGGAAATGTCATCTCCTTCGGCCTTTTCCTCTCGCCAGTGTAATTTCTCTTTCATTTTTTAATTATGAAAATTTTTTTCATACAAAAAAAATTCTAATTTGAGAATAAAAAAAATTACAATATTGAAATTTAAACTTTTTAATGATGATGATTATATAAACTAATTAAAATAAATCTCGGGTTCATGAGAATAATTTGTTTACTATTATTTTTATTTAAGCTTACTTTTGATCCTAAGATTTATAAACACATAAAAAATAATTAATGAAATTGTAAGAATTTGATTATGATAATTAAAATTAAATTTTCATTTTTTTCATAATTATAATTAATGTATTGATGAACGAGTCTATAGTTTAAAAAGTTTGTATTTTCAAGTCTTTGGGATTTTTTTATAGAGTAATAATTATTTTTTTTTCATGAATTTATGAATATATGTATGAGATAAATAATTATTATTGGTGTTGACGGATTGATGCATAATTATATTAATTGTTGTTGTTGTGAATAAATGAAAATAGGCCAACATTTTACCGAATCCATAAGAAGAAGGCGGTTGAGGAGTTCCAGCCATATCCTTACTTGTGCACAGTTTTGAACTGCGTTTTCTGGATGTTCTATGGTCTCCCCATTGTTAAAAAAGACAACATTCTGGTCTTGACCATCAACACAATCGGCCTCACTATTGAGTTGATCTACTTAACCATATACTGGATCTATGCTAATGATAAGAAGAAAAGGGTATGAACTATGAACCATTTTTTTTTTCAAACACTTGAGATTATCGGAGATCGAATCCTGATTACTTGTTGGCTGATCCATTCTCTTATTAATTTGTATAACCATTGACCTACCATTTTAAATGCCTAAGAAACCTAGCTAGTGGGATAGATGTGAATTTTACATTGTTTCAATTTCTTTTTGTTTGTCATGACTCATGACCCCAGACATGTATAGATTGAACGTAGGCATCAAATAGGTAGAATTTTAGGATGAGTATGTATTTGTTAGATTGCACGTATGCATCAAATATTGGGTAGAAATTTGGATAAGGGATTTTCAGATTGTCTTGTGTCTTGATCACACTCTTGAATTACTCTCATAAAAAAGACAATATGCAAATCAAAGCACCATGTTTGATTGATGGATGCTATATGTATGGTTGATCTAATAGTATTTAATTCCACAATTTTCAGGCTCGTGTAGGCTACATCCTCCTGGGTGAATTATGTTTCACAGCACTGGTTGTTGTCATTGGTATGCTCGTCTTCAACTTCAAGCACAGATCTCTTTTTGTTGGGGTTATATGTGATGTCTTTAACATCATAATGTACGCCTCCCCTCTTGCCATCTGGGTAAAATATCTCTCTCTCTCCTCAACTCTATTTTTCCTTCACTTTCACTGTTTTTTCTTTCGAAGTCAGATTGAATCTTAATCATCGAAACTAAAAGTTCAACGCTCTATCAACAAATCACGTTCACTCACTGTTATTTTAACTATATTGCTATCTGTTTTGATCTTATTGGTGAATAACAGAAAAAAGTTATAACGACAAAGAGTGTCGAATATATGCCTTTCTGGCTCTCAGTTGCTAGCTTAGCTAATGGCATCTGTTGGACTATTTTTGCCCTCATACAACTGGACATTTTCATCCTGGTAAAAATTATTCCATTTTAATATAATTGAACCAAATCTTAAGTTAAAAATCGTTGAACCATTTATTTGATTATGGTTTTTTTGCAGGTTAGCAATGGGCTTGGATTAATCTTTGGGGTGGTTCAGCTGGGTTTATATGGTTACTACTACTACCTTGGAAAGAACAAAATCAAAGAAGTTGAAAAGCCATCAGAGGTTCAACTCTCGTATCCGAATCAGAGTGCCTGAAAAAAGCTTCTATTGAGTTCCAACAGGACAAAAACTTTGATCTCAATTTTGCTTTGTTTTTGGCTTATGTTTGTCACTTGGTTACTGCCTAATTGGCAATGGATTGGATTGATTTTGCTTGATTTGGATAAATGTTCATACAATGCTTCAAATTTTGTATATAACTATCCATAATCCTTTTGGTTTTAGTTTGAAAATCAGGTTTTTTATATAAAAAAACCACAATTTTCAACTCTTCACTTGACAGTTGTCATGCTTCTTTGTTTGATTTTTTCTATTCGAAATTACAGAATTGGAACTTAACTCTTTGAAAAAAAAATTATATGTTTGGCCCATTTTTCTTTATCTAAAAAAAGTTTAGGAGCAAAGAAAATTATCTTAAAATAAACAGTCAACTTAATTAAAATTTGTGAGTTTAATTATCCAATTAAAATTTACAGATGTATTAAACTTTTATCTATAAATTTTTTAAATTTATAAATCACTTAACAACGAGAAATTATGGAAAAATTTAATTCTGAATACTAATACATCCAACACTCACCTCTTATCATTTTTGTCAACTTTTATTGGCATTAGGCCGAAGGTTTTGATACAATGGTTATTTCGTTCTTATGGATTGCAAGTACTTGGATGATTATGTTGAGATATTTTTCAATATTGGATTTAAATTTTATCTTTTTTTTTTTTATGTTGGTTAATGTTGTGATTTGATAACTTCCTAATAACATGGGATTTGCAGATAAATTTTTTTTTTATTATTTGTTAATTCACAAGATAGATATTGAAGGGACCATCAAATTCCTCCTAGTTTTTGGGAAAGACATAGTCAATTTTGAACTTTCACGCAAAATTGTAATCAAATGTTTTCATTTTTAGATTTAAAATTTTGCATATTTTTATCATGTAAAATAGTGATAATTTATATATTTATATCATGTTTTACATAAAAATTATTTATCATAATTTGTATCGACACGAAAATATAATATATTTTTTTATTTTATTATATTTATATATAATTTTTATTACAATTTTAAATTATGTCATATTTGTATCGTTTTCATATCATATCAAATGTAATATTTTAAATTATCAAATTTATTCAATTTTTACTTACAGCTATCCTAAGTTAGCAAGAAAACAGATTGTTCACTTTTCATTTCTCTTTGCTTACTGCCACCTTTTTTTTTTTTTTTTTTTTTTTGTCTCTTTATCCATGTTCATGTTACGCACACTTCTCACCTTACCCTAACATACTTTTCCCGCATTTTTTGGGCACTACTTTATTATCCATGTAGCTAGGTATGACACTTTAATTTTCAAAATTAATGTAAAAAATTATTTTAAAAAAAAAAAAAAAAACATAACATATCCAGAATCCATCCAACATAGCTCTTTGTTTCTCCTCCGAACTCGATCAATTTCGGGTAATGACCATGTCTAAAAGGCATATTGCTCCAAATTTTGGTTTGATTTATTTATATCAACATCACCATTTTTTTTATAAAGGTAATCGTTACCTAAAAATAAAAAAAAAATCATAAATATTAAAATTTAAATTTTAAATCAATTAATTACCTTTTAAGAGTGAATGTATGAAATAATTAAGTTAAGTCTTGAATTCACATCAATACCTTATTTGACAAGATTAATGAATAGTATAACTTTTCAAATATACAATATAAAACATTAATTTATAATGAGATGCATGGATTACTAATATTAAATATGGATGTTAATCTTACCCATATCCAATGGGGAATCTGATTTTTTACCCTAATGGAGAAGGAATGGATATTATATTATGAGTATAGAGATGAAAATGGGTATAATTTTAAATTTTTATTGGATACAAAGATAGGGACGAGTAATATAACATTTATCTTATATCTTTATTTTACATATATATTTATATATTTAGTAAATAAATTTTTATTAAATATAAATTATTATTTAGATTAATTAAAATTAATATATTTTTATTAAAAAATATATTAATATATATTTATAAAAAATTACCTAAATATATAAAATAAAAATAAAAATGCTAAAAAATAAAATTTATTTTTATATTTTTAAAAAATTATGGGTATGAAAATTACTTATACTCATTAAATTTCTACAAAAATGAAAATAAAAATAAATTTAAAATATCTATTAATTATGAATATAGAGATAAATATAATATAAAAATCTGAATATGAAAATAAAAAATGCTCTACTTTCTCTATACTTTATCCATTAATATCCCTAAACATCAATTCTAATTTATTGAGTAACTTGGAAAATACATAGATCCCTGCTTTTGAGCAAATTTGTTATTATTAAGTTGTAAATTCATTTATGTCAAAAACTAGGCATAACAAATCTTAATATTGGAGTGATTTAAAGATTTTATCAAGGAATTACTTCAATAATCATAATTTCATGGTCAATATGACAAAAAAAAATCATTATCATACTAAAATCGATAAAAAAAAACAGATACTCTTAATAAAAAAGACTGAGAATAGGTATTAAAAAAATCATTCAAAAATTAAATTGATAAGAACAAATCATTCACTGTGGTTGGCCACATGCCCAATACCAAAGGTGGATCCCAATCCACAATGGGCTGGGCAATGAATTCAGCCCACACAATATACAAGAAAACAAAAAACCAATTGCTCAAGCCTTCATGCTCAAAGTATACCAGTCGTCCAGCACTAGCTGTATTAGTCATATTTTCTAGGTTTCAGTTGCATATATTTGATTCATATTTTATAGAAAAATTATGTGATATAATTTATGTTCATAAAAGAAAATGAAATATATTTTTATGTTCTTATTTCACCTATATGGTTTCTGTTAAAGTTTTAACTTGTATAATTTTTTTTTTTTTGGTGATTTTCATATGTATTTTAAAAGATCAAGTGTAATATTTTTTTATTAAATTAATATGGGTGAAAAAATTTTGAAAAAATAAAAAAACATTTGAAATCATAGCATTTGGTTTAGTTTTATTTTTTTATTTGATTTAGATCAAATTCAGATATTAAATATATATATCAAGTTTGAATTGAAATATAAAAAATAAAAAAAATCTAATTGACCTAAATAATATATCTTTATTAAGTTTTATACATTTCTTAAATTTTTATAAAATAAAAATAATTATTATATATATAAATTTATTTAAATATATTAAAATTTTTATTAAAATAATATATAAAAAATTTAAAAATTAATAAACTAAATGATTCAATAAAATTTAATTCAAATCTATTTTTAAAAATATTAATTTAAATTTAGATCAAATTTTAAAAATTCATAATACCTTACATTATTTAAAAATTAAATCAAATTCTATTCGAATTATTATCACGAAAAAAAAATGAGGGACAGAGAGAGGTCCATAATCCAAAAACGAAATCTTATCCAGAGAGTGAGGATGATGACCCGTATTGCAGCATATCCTAACATTGTAATAGCTCTTATGTCTTAGCCAACATTTATTTATTTCCTGTCTGAACCCAACAACCTTATCCTTTCTTCATCACGAAAAAAGACTCAAAACTTTGTTTGACAAAAAAATTTTCAATTGCCAATTTTTTTTCCTGAAACCTTTGATATTAGTGTATGTCATTTCTCATCTCTTAAAAAATGGCAGATGTCATCTCTTGCAACTGTTACTCTTCTTTAGCTGCCTCTAAATGGATTAATCCAAGAATACCCACCAAAGGTTCTAGCTTTCTAGGGACTCTAAAGAGCAGTTCTTGGTGGAATAGGCAGTTCCTGTCCAAATGTCGTTCTCAGAGGCATGTTCAGTGTCAGCTTCAAAATGGGCAGGTTGGATTTCTTCCATTATTATTATTATTGGTTGTTTTTTTATGGCTTTTGTGTTATTATGGTGCATGTTGGGGGTTTAGCATTTAATAGAATGATTCATTGGGGGAAATCAAGCTTTTTTTAATATGAATTGATCAAATAATATAACTGGTGGATGTTACTCTGAATTATAGGAAAGATTTATATAAGGGAGTGCTGAATTTTGGGGGGGGGGGGGGGGTAGAGCTTGGTTTTTTATGCAATTGATGTGTTACAAAGATTGGTTTTTGAGCAGAAAGGGAGGTCATTTTCTCTGAAGGAATCTGCACTCTCCATTGTTTTGGCTGCTGGGCTGATAACTGGAATGCCATCACTGGATTGGTCTCCTAATGCTTATGCAGCTAGTCCTGCATTGCCTGATTTGTCTGTTCTAATCTCTGGACCTCCAATAAAAGACCCTGGAGCATTGTTGAGATATGCAGTGCCAATTAACAATAAAGCTATTAGAGAAGTACAAAAACCACTTGAGGACATATCAGAGAGTCTCAAGATTGCTGGTGTCAAGGCACTTGATTCTGTCGAGAGAGTAAGACTCCCTGGGCTTAACATGAACTAGCAATTTGATATTTTTACATGCTTCTGTTGATAGGCTTAGCAATTGCATTCATGATAACCAAGGCCTTGTCTTTGTATAAAATGTAGAATTTGAGGCAAGCATCTCGATCCCTTAAGCAAGGGAAAACCTTAATTATCTCTGGATTAGCTGAAGCAAAGAAGGACCATGGAGTGGAATTGCTTGACAAGCTGGAAGTTGGGATGGAGGAATTACAACAGATTGTGGAGGACAGGAATAGAGATGCTGTGGCGCCTAAACACAAGGAGCTGCTTCAATATGTTGGAGAGTGAGTATCTTAGTAAAATCTTCAAAACATAGTGCCCAAGATTGTCATTGTGCTGCGTAGTTTAAACACCCTCCCACAAAGACTGGGTATTGGAAAATATATAATGCTTTAATTTCCAGTGGCTTTCAAAATCAACCCGAAATGACCCTTGTATATGGTAGGTTTTCTAAGTTCCGGAGATATGAGGTTAGCCTTGATTCCAATTTGTCCATCAAGGTTGCCTAAAATGATTTTAATTAGTTGGAAAACATGCACCAAATTTAACTGAAGTATGTTTGATCTGACCTGCACCATATTATGTAGCTTTCCTAAAATGCTGTGTTTGACCTGTCATATGGTGGTCAAGCTTGTACTGTTTGCTCAAGGTGTTGGGGAAATTTAATTGCTCTGTTTGTTTCTGTGGTATAAGAAGTGCAACAAAATGGGCTTAGGTCTGCAACTGCAAGCATTTGTAGTCTCTATGCGAACCAAACATATATGCCACAGCTATTGGCACCAAGCAAGGCCCAAGTCAGCTTTAAACGCTAAACTAACAAAATTTACATAGAGGTATTTCCAAGGTGCAGTGGGCTGCTCATAACACCTTTAAAACTGTAACATACTTTCATCATAAAAGTTGGGAAGGACCTAAAAATTAAGCCTCTTAAAATAAAATAAAAATTAAGCCTCTTAACAACCTTGTCATTGACTGCAGCTGAGATCTTGCTGGGGCATTGGGTTTGTGCAGTGTTGAAGAGGATATGGTGGATGGCTTCCCCTATGAAGTGCCTGAAGAATATCAAAGTATGCCTCTTCTGAAGGGGAGAGCGGCTGTGGATATGAAGGTCAAAGTCAAGCACAATCCTAATCTAGAGGAGTGTGTGTTCCATATAGTTCTGGATGGATATAATGCCCCAGTAACTGCCGGAAATTTTGTTGATCTGGTGCAAAGGCACTTCTATGATGGCATGGAAATTCAGAGAGGTAACTTTTGATTCTGCTGTATTTTGTTCCTAGTTTCATGGTTTGAGGAAAAATATTCAAAGATTGCTGGCTGCCTTGCGAATGAAGTTTGTCAAATATCCTCCTATTATATTGTCTTTTATTTGTCATAACATTAACAAAATAGAATGAGATGTCTAACGCATTTACTATATTTGATGTGGATATCTTTGCTTATTTATCATGTCTAATGGTATAAATCCAAACAGCATTGTCTTGCGATTGTAGTTTGCAAACGCTTCCCAATTGTTACAATCAACAGTAGATTGACTGCTACACTAATTACTTATAGTAGTAGGTTATTTTCAGATATACATGTAGACTTTAGTTACATCTCCTTGGATTTGCTGCAGCTGATGGGTTTGTTATTCAAACTGGAGATCCTGGAGGTCCTGCAGAGGGCTTTATTGATCCTAGTACTGAGAAAACCCGAACAATACCATTAGAAATAATGGTTGATGGGGACAAAGCGCCTGTCTATGGAGCAACACTAGAGGTAAAGCTTTCTCTTCTCGCGTCTAAACAAAATAAAAGTTGTATGAAAAGAGTTGCCTGTATGTGTTTGAACAGGAGCTTGGTCTATACAAGGCTCAAACGAAGATTCCCTTCAATGCTTTTGGAACCATGGCCATGGCCAGAGACGTGAGAATTGATCAACTATCTTTCTTTGTCACTTGTTGGTATTATGTTTCTTTTCTCTGACTTTCCCTTGTTATTTTTTACAGGAGTTTGAGAACAATTCTGCCTCAAGCCAGGTATTTTGGCTGTTAAAAGAAAGTGAACTAACACCTAGTAACGCCAATATATTGGATGGTCGGTATGCTGTGTTTGGTTATGTGACAGAAAATGAGGATTTTTTGGCAGACCTAAAGGTTGGTGATGTTGTAGAGTCAATTCAAGTAGTTTCTGGCCTGGATAATCTAGTCAATCCTAGTTATAAGATAGCTGGTTAGAACTTTTTTGTGTTTTTGGAATTGCATATTGTCACTTCTGAATAAAGCAGCTTGCTTCTTGTGACTCAGTTCATTTTGTAATCTTTCACTTTGAGAGAATTGTAATATTTCAACTGAGAATTTATTATTTTTTTGAATAATATATTGTTATCCAAAAATAGACTTGATAATTCTAAACACGATATGAAAAAAAAAAAAAATCAAATATCAATTTAATAAAAACAAAAAACTATATATCGTATTTGATGTATTTTTATATATTTTTATTAATTTAATTGATTTGATTAATTTTTTCAGTTAGTTGAATAATAAATATATTTAAGTTAAATTATATTTTAAATTTTAAATTTTTTATATTTTAAATAAATTAAATAAAATTAACAATTTAATAAATAAAATAAAATATTCAAATACCAAAATATCTTGTTAAAAATTTTAACAATTTGATAAATAAAATAATTTGTTTTATGTATTTTTTATTTTATATTTAAATTTTTTTATATTTTGATTTAAAATTTTTAAAATTATTTTCATTAATCAATTGAAATTAATGTAATAATAGATTGATTAATTGAATTAAATTAATTTAGTAAATTAATTTGATTTAAATTAAATTATGAACACATCTAGATTCGAGATTAGCAAAATTTAACTTCTTGGAAGGGCTGCAAATCGAGATAAAACCAAAAGAAAGAAAGGAATGTGACCCCTAAATCCATTATCATTTTTAGATTTGGCAATTTATGTTTTCGTATTGTATCTTTTATCATATTTGATATGTATAATGATACGAATTATTAAAATATTAACACGACACAAATTATAAAATATATTTAAATTTTAAATATCAACACAACATGTTTATTATATATGTTATACGTAACACGACATGATTAATATATGTGTAATTAATTTGTTTAAATACGATACTAATAAACACGAATAACACGGATATACACGAATAGACATAATTAACATAAAAATATATAAATAGACATGATTAAAATAATAAATAATTATAAACTATTTATCATTTACAACTTAATAAATTTGACATGTTAATAATATAAAAAAATACTTACATATTAAAAAATTAAAAAAAATTAATACTCATTTAATATGTATTTAATATATATATATATATTTTTTTAATATATATTAAATAACTATATTAAATTTTAATATCAAATTCAAAATGATAAATTGTTAAAGATTAAAAAATAAAATAATATTGTATAAGATTAATATTAATATTTATATTGTATTTGTATTATTAATATAAAAAATTAATTTTATAATAATTATTAAATGAGTATCATATTTAAATGTTTAAAATAATTTTTATATTATATTAAATAACTAATTAAATATCATAATTAAAAAATTAAAAATTAAAATAATATTTATATGTTTATATTAAATTAAAATAAATATAAAAAATATGTTAAACGTATTAAATATATATTTGTATGATAAAATTAAATTTAACGAGTTATTTAGATCATGTCACATATTTAAAAGTGTCAATATATATAAGACACGAATAAATACAAAACACATATATAATTTTTTCATATCATAGCATCACATTGAATCTCAAATTGTCAGATTTAATCTTTTCCAGAATTTAACGATGTTCATTGCGCTGCTCAAACATCATCAAGCACGTGAAGTGCGGCCCTTACTGACTTTGATGCAGAGCAAGCAAGCATCAGAAGAAAGTGATTGTTTTATAGAGGAAAGGAGAGGAGAGAAGAGAGGAGTACAGGACCAGAGGCCCCCCAATTGTTTCACCAAATAACCTCAAGGGAACTGGGAAATAATTAGAGACCAGCCAATCAGTAATGCCCGTGATTTTTTACTGTCGGGGGCTCAGGGGCCTCAAGGGGGCTTTTCCAGTTCTGCAATAACAACAAGAGATTAAAATCAAATTCCCATTTGTAATGAACCGTTGGTGCCGTGATGGTCATATATTCTAAAAGAACAACCCTATTTGTCACAGTTATCAAAGAAACAAATGCTTCCATTGTAACATTTTCCATCAAACCCTTTGCATTAGCCTGAACACTTACAAAAATTTAGGCAGGTGACACCACCCTGCACCAGCCAAATTTACATTTCCTATGCAAAATAATGGTGGCATTCGTGTATAAATATCATTTATGATTGTGAAGGCATCCTTATACTTACCACAGTCGGGTCCTTCTTTGTCATATGTGACATTATACTGGTGTCCCTGTGATTCCAGCCACTCACGCAAGCCCAAGGCTCCCTCCACACAACCAACAAAGTTGGGATTCTTTGCATAACACTCATTGGCCTTGTAAAACACCCCAACAATCTTTTTGCTTCCTGGAGAAGCCTGTTACCAAATATATTAGGAAACATGAGCAGTTAAACCACTAGAGTGAAAAACAGATTTTGCAGGGCCACATTCATTGTTTTAAAATTTTAACACTTTTCCTATAACAAAATCTCACTGTTTTGAGCAGCAGCTGCAGTGTCACGTGGAAGCTACACTTTCCCTACACCAAGTCATCGACTGAAACGCCTTGGATTAATGCATGCAAAGGCATTAGCCTGGCCCTCCATTGCTTTCGATCAGCCATGGACCATGGCGAAAGCTCATCCCAACCGTCAAATATTCAAATTAATCTAAGCCTACGCAAATCTTAACAACAAATACTCAAAACCAACTTTCACCTTGAAAAAAAAAGGAACAATCCATGAATTAGCTTACATGGAGTTGTCTGGTAAGAACAGAAGATGACCCAGAATTGGCCAAGGCTTTGATAGCAGAGCTAGAAACTTTCTTCATAGCCATATCTCGAAAACACTTCAAACTGACACTGAAATTTTCTTTGAGGAGTTGAAATAATAATGGAAGTGAACTGGGTTTTTCACGTTTTTTAAGCTGAAAACTCATCCTTTGTATGGGCTAAAAACCAGTTGGACACTTCCCAGGTACCAAGAAACCTAACCAGGCACATTTCTGCTTTGGCTTTTGCTCCTACGTGTTTTTTTTTTTTTTCTCTCACTCTCTCTCTCTTTTATTCAATGGAAGAATGTGATTGGGTCGCGAATTTCACCGGCTCAAGTCTGCTATTATTTTCGTAGAGTAACTGGAATTTTTGGTTCGTGGCGAATTTTAATTTCTCATTCTCACGGTTGACTAAGGCCAGGGTGATTTTGACTGCATGCAGCCACTATTAGAAAGAAAAAATAATTAATAATTTCTTGGATTAATTTAAGTTAATTATACTTTTGATTGTTGAATTTTAAAAAATATATAATATCTAAAAAAATAAAATGTATAATTTGTATTTTAAATTTTTAAATAATATATTATTTAATTTTAATTTTAATATTATTAATTTAATTTACTTATATGATATCTAATCAATAAAATTATTTTTAATATAAATTATTTCTTAATTATATATAAATATAAATTTTATTAAATATAAAATTTAAATTATATATTTTGTTTTGCCATTTTTTATTCACCGATTTTTATTACAAAATTTACCTAATTTACGAAAAAGAAACAAAAGGTGAAAGGGAAAAAAACCAAATGGAGATGATATAAAATAATAGTTTTATTAATATTATATATATAAATATAAAATTAAATAAATAATAATATATATTTTGTATATACGACGAGATAACTTGAGAACAAACACCTTAAATTTTGTTAATTTAATTAAAAAACACAAAAAAAAAATGAAAGAGCTGTATGAACATTTTTATTGACATTATTTTTTTATAAAATTTATTTATTAAAAAGTAACAAATGAAAAAACATAAAAATAAAAAGTAAAAAAAAACAAAAAAAAAATTTATGTCAAGTCAAGTAAAATCAAAACCCATTAAATATAAATTTTTTTGCCACCCTATCTATCAATTTTTTTTTTGTGCAAAATTTATATAATAAAAAAAAACCCAAATTGGGTTATCATATGGACACCTTTGATTTTTTTTTTAACAAATTTAAAATAAAGAATTTTAGAAAACAAAAAGTTGACAAAAAAAAAGAAAAAGAAAAAAATATTATATAGAGCAAAAAAGCATATAAACACAAAGCATCATGTTGATACAATGAATGAGGACAAAATAAGAGTTAAAATAAGTATAATTTATATAATGAATGGTTGGATAGATTAATAGATTATTTATTAATTATTTATAAATATAATATTTTTATTAAATTAAGATATTAAATAATAACTTAATTAATATATTACATATATAAATATAAAATAAAATAAATAATTAAAAATTTTATATATACAAAGCATCATGTTGACACATTGATGGAAGACAGAATAAGAGTTAAAATAAATAAAATTTATATAATAAATGGCTAGATAAATGAATATATTACATATTAATTATTTATAAATATATTATTTTTATTAAATTAAGATATTAAATAATAACTTAATTAATATATTACATATATATAAATATAAAATAAAATAATTAATTAAAAAATTTATATATATTCAAGGTAAGACGAAAAGATTTTAAATTTGTCTTTAACTAGACTTCTATTTAAAAAAAAATCTTAATTCGATCTCGAACTTTTTAAAATTCGCACATATTAAATCATTACAAATCGAAATTTATGAAATATGAGTTATTTTGTCATTCATACAGTTATTGATTTTTTTTGTACAAAATTTATTTAATTAAAAAAAAATCAAATCAAATGAAAATGTTACATGATTCTATTAAATTAAAATATCAAATAATAATTTTATTAATATAATATATAAATATAAAATTAAATGAATAATAAATCATATATTTATATATACCTGGCAATACGAAACACTCTAAATTCACGTTAGACTTGATTTTGTTGTTTAAAAAAAAAAATTTGGTCTCAAATAAAAAGGTAAACCGATTAGACACAATGAATTGAAACTCATCACATAAGTTGTTTTGTCATCTATGCCTTCGTTGATTTTTGACAAAAATTTATTTACTGATTTTTTTTTTGTTAAATTTATTTAATTAAAAAAGAAAAAAGAAAAAATGAAGGACAAAAAAACAAAATATGATACCGTGAATACACATCAGTTGACCTTTTTTTTTTTAAATTATCTATTTTAAAAATAAAATGAAGAAAAAAATAAAAAAATAAAGTTAAATTGTCATATGATATCAGTAACAATGAATTTTTTTAGAAAAAATTTTATATCATGATTTAAAAAAATAAATTAGTTAACAAAAAGATAAAAGAATGAAAAAATATTAAATCTGGATGTGATGTTGATAATTCTATAACATTATTTTTCTAAAAAATTATAAAATTTTAAAAATTGTTAAATATTTAAAAATTTTATTAATTATTAAAAAAGGAAAAAGAAAGAAAAAGTAAAAATAAAAAGATTAAAGAAAAAAGAAAAAAAGGAAATGAATGGCTTGACACAGCACATACTTTTGGTATTACATGAGTCAGTAAAAAAATTAAAATCTTTAAAAAATTTTAATATATAAAAGGAAAACAATAGAAAAAAGAAAAAAAAAAAAAACAAACACATACATACTTTTAATGTGAAGTGGATCTCACACAAAAAATTAAAATCAATAAAATTTTTATAAAAAATTATAAAAAAGGAAAAAAAAAAGAAAAAAAGGAAAAAATTATATAAAGTGGATTCCATTTTAAATTAAATTTTTTAAAATTATTTATAAATTTTAAAAAATCTGAAAATAATTTTAAAAAACTAAAAAGATATAAAGTAATTTAAAAAAGAAAAAATGGCATAAAATAGATTCCACCTTAAAATTTTAAATCTTTAAAAGTATTGATAAAATTTAAAAATATATATAGAAAAATTTTTAAAATCTAAAATGTATAAAAGATTAAAAAATATATAAAATAAAACAAAAAACCAAAAAAAAAAAAAGAAAGAGTAGAGTGCACCACGTGGCACACCCTAAGGAAGAGGCGATGTGCTCCATACATGAGCAAAATTAAATGCATAGGTTTGGTTCGAAAACCTAAAAGCCGGAAGAATCGATTGTTACATGCTTCTTTTTGGACAAATGAATTGTTGAATTTTGAACTATGCAATGAGAGATTTTTTTTTTTAATTTCATTAAAATTTTTTAATTTTTAAATTTTGGAAGAAGTAGAGTTAATATACAAACATGCATGCACGAATTACTGTTAAATAGATTTAATAGTTTTAGATATGATATGAAAATGATATAAAAATAAAAATAATTTAATTTAAAATTTTAAAAAATATTTATATAATTTAATAAAAATTTATATTTAATATATTAAAAAAATTATAATAAAATAATTTTTATATTTTATATATGTTAAATATAATATATTTTATCATGATTTGAAAAATTAAATAATTCGTATTTTTTAAAATATTTTTTACATAAAAGAAAAGTACAACGACGTGAATGTGAAACTTACTAATTCTATTAATAAGTCAAATGTTCATATAAAATATTATTATTATTATTATTATTTTTCCTGTTTCGACTTTGAAGTTAAAACATATACATTTACAAAGATTTTATTTTTCCTACGCTAAATTGAAAATAACTAGTACTGCTACTACAAGTTTAAAAATCAAGTCTCCTATAAAAAATATATATATAGTACTAGTAAATAGAAGAAGAAACAATGAAAGTACTATTAAGATCTGCAAGTGTTAGCCTAGGTAATACATCTATCGTCTTCTTGTCTTTCTTCAGTTCCGGTCCCACACCGTTCTAATACAGTTAATAGCCGCCCAGACCCTGAGACCCCCAACCCAAGTTCACTGTCAAAGTGTAATACCCAGAAAACTCAATCAATCCACCTTATTCAATAATGGAGGATGAGAAACAACAGCAACAACATCAAAAACATCCAGAAGAAGAGGAACAGAAACAACAACAACAACAACAACATCAAGAAGAAGAAGAAAAACAGCAACAAAAAGAACAACAAAACCAAGGGGAAGAAGCAGAAAATAAGCAAAACCATGCAGTGTTACAATTTCTATTAAACAAGAGGTCAACACCACCATCTGATCATTCTCCTGTTGACTCTCCACTTTCATCTGACCACTCTTCTCTCAGCCACGGCTTCTCTCCACCACCCCCAACATCTCAACCTTCTGACCACAACTCCAAGCCACCAGCTGTAACAGTTTCCAGGGCGGAGTTCACATCTAGAGACCAGTCAATTGCTACTACTGTTGAAGTTGAAGAGCAGAGTCAAAAACTTGGTTCTGGCAGTGGTAAAAGTTTGAGGCCTGATTTGTCCATATTAAGAAGAACCAAGAGAGATAAGATGGTAAGAAAGGCTTTGTTGGGGTTTAGGATTTCTGGGTTTGCTTTTTGTTTGGTTTCTTTCTCTGTTTTAGCTGCTGATAAAGATCAAGGTTGGGCTATTGATTCTTTCTACCACTACAAGGAGTTCAGGTTGGTAGCTTTTTCCATTTTCCCATGTCATGATGTCACGAAGGCCTGAATAGATGTTCAGCCATTGGCTTAATGATGTTCATTGTTTTAAACTGTTGTTCGATGTTTCAATTTATTGGGTTTCGTGTATTGTTTGATCTGCAATGGTCTTTAATGGATTGCAGATACTGTATGGCAGTGAATGTGATAGGATTTGTGTACTCTGGGATTCAGGCATATGATCTAGCCTACCAACTGACCTCCGGAAAACAGAAACCCCGGAGTCGCCTCCGGTGTTTCTTAGATTTCGTTTTGGATCAGGTAATTCTTCTTTCGACTAATGGCCCTTACTTTTTTGGGTTTTTTTTTTTTTTTTTTATGTTAATTATTGTACCGAACCTAGGCCAAACTTTAATTACACCTAATCCTGGGATGCCTTTGATGAAGTAATTTAGGGGACCACAGCCAATAAAGGTAGGTGAATGAGTCCAATGGCCGGTTTACATAGTATTCACTATAGTATTTGCAAGAACTATAAACACTTCGTATGGCACCTAAACTTACATTTATAAGATATTTTTTATAAAATAAAATCATGAAACATTCAAATTAAATGAAAATACTTCTTAAATTAGGTGCGACTTTACGTAAAAGTATTGTTTCAGCATGAAATGCTTAGGTTAGAATTTTTTTTGGACCAGTTAGTTGGAGAACTTTTTGAAGACCTTTTTAAAGCCTTTTCTGTGTGATAATGACGCGTTCACTTTCTCAACTTGTTTCCTGTATACTATTGTGGCTACTGGCCTGGAGAAAAGTTGGTACTTTTTGCAAGCAATATTTATAAAATCTATTGCAGCCCAGTAAAAGTGACAATTAACACGATCTTCCACAAAGCCCGTTATACATCTTCAGATGAGCAGATTGAAATATATACTGTTCAGGTGGCATTGGACATGCTAACAAAAAAGGAATTAAGATTGTGAGCTGTCTCCCCTTTTAGTAACACCAAAATTCTTTAGCCACTGAAGTTATTTGTGCTCTTGTGGCTTTAGGACTTGGCCTGAAACTTCAGGTCCTCCGCCACCACGAACCCAGTTAGATTCAGGCATAATATACCTTTTAGTGATTGAGAGGTGTAGTGGATAATACATGGGGTCAAACCTGGTTTATTCTTCTTATAGACATGATTAATATAACTGTGTGCTGAAGCACTCAAAGTGAAATGCTGGACTTTTTTTTGGACTTGGCAGATGCTGGCTTATCTTCTCATATCAGCATCATCTTCAGCTACTGTCCGAGTTGATGACTGGCAATCCAACTGGGGAAAAGACAAGTTCCCGGAGATGGCAAGGGCCTCTACGGCATTGTCCCTGGTAGCATTTATTGCCTTAGCCTTAAGCTCACTTATATCTGGTTATACTCTTTCTACTTTCAAATCTATGTAGCCTATAACACTTCTGGGACCTACGTATTAGGTGTGTAAAGATTAAATTGTTTGAAAACAGCATGTACTGGAACCAAGTGGTAGGGGACTCAGTTTAGAACAATGAAGCATTGAATTGTGTACAGAAAGTTTCCCTTACTTCACTTGGAATATGTGTAAAACAAAGATGATGAATGATTTCGAATTTTCAACAAGTTTGGTTAGCAGATCCCTGTGAACTTAATATTTATGCTTTCACATTTCTGCAATGATACGAGGTTAGAGTAGGGGGTGGGCTCAAGAATATAGGTCTGCTGCCATGCCATGTCCAGGTCCAAGTTCCCACCTTAGGCCCACCTCATTGCCGGTAAGGGGGAGTAGGCTCAATTGACCATAAACGAGGGCCAGGCTGAATTGACCACAAAGAATGAGCCAGGCTGAAGTGACCATGACTTCTGTTTGTTTGGGTTTGGCCACTTCAATTGTTATCACATTTACATTCGAAGGGAACAAAAGAAATCTGATTTTGCATTTGCCAAATTTTTGAAAGGTCATCAAGGCATTCTTACATACCAGAAAATTGTCGAAGGAACATGAAATACGGTGAGCGTATATTAGATAAATGAAGGCAGTGAAAGGTGAGCGTGCTGTGACAATATATAGTGCTGTGACTCCATCAGCTATCATATATATATATATATATATTTTTTTTTTCTCTCTTCCAATGGGTCTATTTTGGAATTTGGAGAAACTGAATCTTTCCTGGAGAGTGAAGGTGAAGGCAGTTATTGATCCCAAAGGCATTTATCCTTTTTTCTCTCAAAACCCTGGAAGGACTGGCCTATGTTGACACTGGCAGACTTGCAGGAGAATTGGTCATGTATCCAATCCAAGAAGAGAATTAATTTAAATGTAATTTCTCGTTGTTTTTTTCCGTTTTTTGGCCAGTTTTCTTGTTGAGCAGCTTTATACAATTTTAATAGAAGAGTCTAATCAAGTCACGATTGGATTGACGTAATGAAAAGAGTCTTCTATAAAATATAGCAAATGTAAATAAATGATGATACATGCATTAGACAAATCTACCGTCTTTATCATAAAAAATAAAAAAAGGAAAAGCATTTTTCTTTTTTACAAAGGGAAGCCGAAACCTAGAGGATTAAGAAAAAAATTATATATCCTTTTTTCTCTCAAACCCTGGAAGGACTGGCCTATGTTGACACTGGCAGACTTGCAGGAGAATTGGTCATGTATCCAATTCAAGAAGAGAATTAATTTAAATGTAATTTCTCCTTTTCCGTTTTTTGGCCAGTTTTCTTGTTGAGCAGCTTTATACAATTTTAATAGAAGAGTCTAATCAAGTCACAATTGGATTGACGTAATGAAAAGAGTCTTCTATAAAATATAGCAAATGAAAATAAATGATGATACATGCATTAGACAAATCTACCATCTTTATCATAAAAAATAAAAAAAGGAAAAGCATTTTTCTTTTTTACAAAGGGAAGCCGAAACCTAGAGGATTAAGAAAAAAATTATAAGTGTTTAATTAAGATCGAATTTTAATTTTGTAAAAATTTAATTTTTAAGAGAGATAAATATGACATTCTTAATTTTATATTAAAAAAATATGAAAATATAATATGATATATATATAAAGATTCAAATTTATATTTATAAAAAAAATTTTTAGATAAAATTGTGAGACTTTCGAATTAAAATGAATAATACTTCATAAATTAAGTGTAAATCTTCACAAATTATATTATCAGTTGGATGAGAGTTAATTGTTACACTATAAAAATTACCTCTAAAATATCTTTAAAATTTTAATATCTGATATGATTATGATTTTATGAATTTGTGTCTATTTTGTATTGAATTTAACGAAAATATCAAGTTTGAACATAAGAGATTTTGATGCCCCTAATTCCATATTAAAAGAATATAAAAATATGATATGGTATATATATATATATATATATTAAATATAAACTTATGAATTTTTTTTTTAGAATAAAATCGTGAAACATTTAAATCAAAATAGATAACACCTTAAATTGAGTACAAATTTTCATAATAAATAAATTATTTGAATTAAGTTTTAAATTTAACGACAAGAAATCAACCCTTAGCTATTATCAACAAGAAACAATTGAATTCCTAGTTTGGTTGAATAGTTGATAAAACCTTTAATTTATGGAATATACTTTTATTTCCTTATGATTTGAGGATTATTTGAGAGAGTTTATTAATTGATAATGGAGTTGATATGAAATTAAAAATATATTCTGCAGGCATACAACATAAACTCGACTTGAATTTATACCTATAAACTTTTTTTAATGAAAGAGAGTAAATATCTGATTCCCACTTTAACATCAGCCTTGAGCAAACTAGGGTCATTCCTCCAATAGAAACATATATAGAAAGGAAAAATATATTGAATGTGCTATTTTCTTTGTCAGATTTGAAATAGGATTATCGGAAGGTAATTTTTTATAAATTTATTAAATTTGATATAAATAAATTTATTTGATCAATTTCAAAAAACTGTATTAAATAAAATTCAAAATCCTCTTACCATTCAACCAAAATAAATAAATAAATATATATATATATACATTTAATTAAATTTTTATTGAGTGCCAATACATCACAATTTACTCTGTTTTCTTCTATTAGCCAGCAGCCATAGTGATTGAGACTCTTAACTAATCATCCCCTTTCGGCTTTCACCTTTCCTATAAATTATTGCATAAAATCTTATCAAAGCACTTGGAAAAAAAAAAGCTTTTCTTTCTCTTATTCTCATGGAAATTACTACTTCAAGTGATTCCATTCCCTCAAAAATGAAGGCTTGGGTTTATTCTCAGCATGGAAAACCTGTTGATGTTCTGAAACTGAACTTAGATGTTAATGTACCTCAACTGGAAGCAGACCAGGTTCTAATCAAAGTTGTAGCTGCAGGGCTTAATCCAGTTGATTTCCAGAGGATGCTTGGGATGTTCATAGAGACTGATTCCCCCTTACCTGTAAATTCCCTTTTTCTTCTCAGTCTTGCATGTCTATTTTTCTTTGACAGGGATTTGTTATTCTTGTGTTGTTCGTTCTGTCAGATTGTTCCAGGATATGATGTTGCTGGTGTGGTGGTGAAAGTAGGCAGCAAAGTAAAAATTTTTAAGGAAGGAGATGAAGTATATGGGAACATTAATGAGAAAGGCTTGGATCACCCAAAAAGATTTGGCACTTCAGCTGAATATACTGCAGCTGAAGAGAAGCTTTTGGCTCTCAAACCCAAAAATCTGAGTTTTGTTGAAGCTGCTGCTGTTCCCGTAGTTATTGGGACTGCCTATGAAGGCCTTCAAAAAACTGGCTTATCTGCTGGTCAATCTATCCTTGTCTTAGGAGGTGCTGGTGGGGTTGGCACCATGGTAATTCAGGTACAATATTTTGTAAAATTTTTTTGGTATAGTACATGACTTTCCTACCAAAAACTACTTCTTAGTCATATATTTTTGTCATTTTGGATTCTTATTTTTGGTTGTATGATTTTATATGTAAAAAAAAAAAAGTTTGAAGAACCCCAAGTTTCCTTCGGTTGGTTAATTCAGTCACTTAAAAATATGACATCCGATAAATATGAGATTCAAATCCTGTTACTTGCAATTTTTTTTCTTATTCTCAGACTGCGTACTTTCAAAACATCACAAATTGGTTAATTTCTAAGTATGCCAAAGGGAAATCTATGGCTATATTGAAACCATTTTAGTCCACAATTCTTCTTGTTTAATATTGGAGTTTGAATTGGAACCTGAAATTCCTTCTATTCTTGGTTTTTCCACTCCTTGGGATCAGCTAGCAAAGCATGTGTTTGGAGCATCCAAAGTCGCAGCAACCTCGAGCTCATCAAAACTGGAATTACTAAGGAGCTTGGGTGCTGATTTGGCAATTGATTACACCAAAGACAACTTTGAAGATTTCCCAGAAAAATTTGATGTAGTGTATGATGCAGTTGGTATGATTCTGAATCGTTGCCTCTGAACTAATTGGAATGATGCTTTATACTTGCTATATGAAAAAAAAGTTATCTGAACTCGGGGCTTAGCTTAATTCATCTAATCAGCTTTAAAAGGTGATATTAAGCAGGTTTGAGATCAAATTCCAGTGCCTGCAATCCCTTCCTTTATCTTCAAGTTGCGGTCTCTCTTATACCAAAATTAGTAATATTCGTTCTTGAAAATTAGAAAGATAAAACTTAATTTAAAGGTGAATAGGTTGTAGTTGTTTTCTTGACACAAAGTTAATAATATTTATTGATACAAAACAGGGCAATCTGAAAGGGCAGTGAAGGCAATCAAAGAAGGTGGGCGGGTTGTGACAATAAAACCAGTAGGTGCTGTTACTCCACCAGCTTTCAGGTTCATACTCACTTCAAGTGGAGCTATGTTGGAGAAATTGAATCCTTTCCTCGAAAATGGGAAGGTGAAGCCTGTCATTGATCCAAAAGGCACATTTCCTTTTTCTCAAATCCCAGAAGCATTATCATATCTTCAAACCGGTAGAGTTACTGGAAAAATTGTCATTCATCCAATTCCATGAAGAGAAATGATGAATTGGATCATGTTTCCATTGTCACTGTTTTTCCAGATGAGCATCCACCGTCATTTAGTTTAATGCTAAGTTTGTAATAAAAAAAATGGCGGGGCAATGGATTGATGAAATATACAGTTAATTATGAAAGAAAGAAGAGATATCTGTTAAGTTATTATGGCTTTCTTCCAAGTTTTACTCTATGATAAAAATTGAAAATGTCAAAAAGCTATATTATTCATTTTATGAACTTGGTTCCTCATCCTCAGGTAAAGCCTCATTGTTGCAACACAGTCCTCATATGGGTCTAGAATACCAGTTTGGATGTCACACCCAAACATAGAAGTTGCATCAATCTCTTGAACAATTATCAATAATAGATATGATCAGACAAAATATGGTCAGTTGATACTTACCCCAGGTATGCTAAGTTTGCTTGTTTTCATCAAGGGAGGATATTTTGCAGTATCCCTGTAAGCAAATAAACTTCTATCATATTAATTGTATTTTCCACATGAATTTCATCATTGACCTTTATCCTTACAATCCAGCTTCCAGAAGCAGAAGTAGAATATCTTGGTAAAAGATGAATGTGCAATTTTAACTATTAAAAAAATTACAGCTTGACCTGTATTCCTAGCATCCCAAAACTTTACCTTATCATAATTTCTGGATATTCTACTTGCAGACGATCAAGGTCATGATCAAGACCATGACCGATGAGAATCCTAGCTTTCCCACCTTTCTAGCTCTCCATTGCAAAGGAAGTCTTGAATCCTTCTTTGCACTTGCCTCATGGCATTGTATCTCTCAAACATTCCTGTCGAATGCCAGTTGTTTCATACCTGAAAATTGTTCAAAATTTGAATTTGGTTTATTTGACTCCATTTGTTGGAATTAATTGAATTTTCCTATTGACATAGTCTATCTTTATTCATTAATGGAACCTGTAGTTTGTAACTGGAATTGGTGGCTTGACATAAGTATGGAGGATCATATTCTCATTGTCATCAATGATGCAAACCCTTGCACAAAGACCTTATGAGCCATCAATGCCATCTCCAACCATTTTGCATGCCAGTGCAACTACCTTTGGGCCTCTTGGAAAACCATTGTCCATGGTCAAGCTATCGCGAAGGCCTAAGTCAGCCAGGCGAGCCAGTATTCCCTGTAATAAGAAATCTAAACTTAATGATTTGAAGATAGGGAAAGGCATTGTAGTTGAAATAGTAGTTTTTCAAGCTATAAGGGTAATAGATAATTTACTTCTGCGAGCTGGCATCTGTCTTGATGAATCTTAAGAGCGTAGGGGCTATCCAGAATGGCTAAGCAGAATTTGCATCCTTGGATGTTGAACAAATTGTTGCATTCTTGTTTCGGCAATGGACCTGTTAAGAACAAATCTGTCCTGATCATGAAGGAAAAAAAATCTTTGGATTAAGAAGAAATGTCAATGTGCTAGTAGTACTAATATTATTACTAACCTATAAGATGTTCCCTTAGAGATTCAAATGACCGGCAGTGTTTCTTACAAACTCCACATGTAGATAGGTTCCTGAACTGAATGAAAGGAAGTTCTCTTGTGATCAACCAGGTGCTCCATTCTGTTGAACTGTCTGAAGCAGGCTGCACATTTCTTCCTACAGCTCATGATAATCCATCGATTAATTTAGCATTAGAATCATTAATATCTGTGTTATAACAGTAAACTTCAAAGTGCATTTGATGTGTGCACATGCTCATATGTGTGTGAATGAGTAAAGATGGATCGAGAGATAATCCATCGATTAATTTAGCATTAGAATCATTAATATCTGTGCTAAACATTAAACTTCAAAGTGCATTTGATGTGTGCACATGCTCGTATGTTGTGAGCGAGTAATGATGGATCGAGAGAGAATACCGTTGGGCGTAGGCTTTCTGCAGACTCCATCTTGTTATTGATGATAGTTGAAAATGTTTAGTGTATTAACTTAGAAGGACCTGAGGAAGAAGATGGGGTACGGAAGGGTACTTATATCAGTTAAGGAAGAACTTTTGTGTCCCAGTTAAGACCGAGGATGATTGAGAAAATTACTTGAATTTTGGAGCTTCTTCTATATCTCTGCACTAGAACTTTCGTAGTAATCCAGATGCTTGAAGGCCCACTGATCAACTAAAATATTCTTCTCATATCCCTCACTTTCTATGTCTGCATTGCATGGCATGCGAGAATGTATACATGGACCTATGTGTATGTGTGCGTATGGTTAACTTTATTTGTGCGCTTAACAACTTAATAACTTTTTTCATAGCATCAAAGGATGAGGCCTAGAACTATAGTCGTCAGCTGATACAGAATTTCCTTCTTTATAGAGGGTTTTTTTTTTTTTGGAGCAGTTTACACATAAAGTTGGTGGAATATTGGTAGGATACAAAGTCCTGAGTTAAATTCAGTTCTTTGATTTGAGGCTTAAAAGCCACCAAATCCTGGAGGACAGAATTTTATTCCCCTCCTTTGGGACTAGGAAACCTTGATAATGTTTTGCATTGGCTCAGAATATAAGCCTTGCCAAAATGACATAGGCCATATGTGATTTTATACACCATCAGTAATGCAAAACATTGTCAAAGATTGGGTTGTTTCCCAATCGTTTTCATTTCTATCACATAGGAAGTTTACAACTTTCCCCATTTGCATGGGGAAGGAAAAAGGGCTACACCAAGTTGCTTGACATGATAGAAATTGGGACATCAGCTAATATGTGACCCAGAGACGCATGGTAAGAACTCTTATACCTCAATTCAAGATGTTTCAAAGATTTATTATAATATATAAGATTGGACATAAACTTAAACTTAAGAGGCATATTTTATGAAACAAAATTATGAAATTTTTCAAATCAAAACAAATAATATCCCTTAAGTATGGATCTCTTAAATAACTCATATTCATCCAAGTTTAATCAAATAATTTACTTTCCGCAAAGGCAGATAAAGGTCTTTTTCAGGTCTGGCTCTCCTTGGTTATTTTCAATACAATTTAAATCGTCATTTACAAGTACGACTTCCACGGTTCATGAGTAAATCTTATAAATGTGAATGGTACTGATAATGAGTATATTAAAAGTAAAGAGAAAAATAATCGACATGAACCCAACCTGTCTTTTTCATCTTGAATAATGCCATAGCTTTTTTTTTGTCCAAGATGGCTGACAAGATCATGACAAAAATTGGCCTGCAAAGTGCAAATGCAAATAGGAAATGGGCTAAGATTAAGAGACACATGTTAAAACTTGAAGTTTATCAAGCTTCAGCTGATCCTTTACTTTCGGATCAAAAGATTAAAGTACAAGAATGAAACAGGCTTAACTTGAAGAAAAAACAAAAGAAAAACATGGGGAATATTGTCAGCAAAGACTCACTTTTTGACTGTAGAGGTACCCTAGTAGAGATTACTTCAATGGTGCATTTTGTATAAGACACAAAAGCTTTTAATAAGTCAAAGAACACTCTTTTTTCATTTTTTTTTTCGGTGCCATAGTGCAGATTCTGGTCCACACAGCCATGCATGGTTCCTGTTAGGAATAAATTTCTGTTCAAGGTTAAATTGATATTTTCTTTCGTTAAAAACTGTCAGCAAATAATTATAAATATTTTTTATTTTTGAATTGATTTGACAAGTTGATCTAACATGTATAATACCATGATATTTTGACTATATTACTATTCTATCTCATTAACCCTCATATTTTACTTAAAAATAAAATGATTCATATATTATCTAGTCATTCTATTTTTCTTCTACTTTTCTCATTTTTTATTATTTTTTTAACTTTTAATAGCTAACTTTTGATTTGTAAATACAAAAAATACTTCCTGCCTTTATTTTTAACTATTTTCTTTCTCTATGATAGTTTTAGAAATTTGACCCTCGACCAGGAGCTTGACACCAAAAGTTCCCATTGCCATCACTCACCAGAAACGTCTTTATTTCACAAGACAAAATAGTTTATCAGCCTGAGAGAACAGTGTCCTTCATTTTTGACAAATATATAACTAGCTTTTTCCTCAACTACAACTTGCCATATATTTGACACTTTCATATATTAAACTATACATACTATATACTTCCTTCCTCTACATGCACCCAACAAAATGAAACTTAAATATTTGAATCAATCAAAGAACATATATAATTAAACAAAACAAAAAAAACTTTTATAAAGGTTAGGCACTAAGGCATAACTTAATATGCAAAAGGGTAGGTGTTATTGTTCCATCTATCGTTTTTAATAGTTGGGACATAAATATCAGGTGATTACTAATTAGGGTTTGCCACCATGCATCTTTTTCATATTGATTTTCCATTTTTTAAATAAAATATTAGCAGCAGCTGTCATTGTACTTAGCTGTTGAAGATGAGACAATTCTTTGGTTGGTGTATCATTTTTTAGATCACTAGCTAATTAATCATGGTATTGGCTAGTTTAGTGCTAATCCAGAATAAATATATTTAAAACCCATAATCATATATTAATGCCTAATTTAACTAATAAAATATTTTGTTCATTTTTTTTTTATGATTATGACAGATATTTGTAATCAAAATCTCATCTTTGTTAAGATTTGTAATGCTGCTAAAAGGAAGAAAAAAAAAATGATATCCATAGGTTTTTACCATGTGAACCAAGTCAAGAAATTTAGAAAGAAAACCCATAATTGCAAAATTCAAATTTATACATGAATATATGAGAAAATTCAACAGCAAAAGAAAATTTAAATTCAAATTTTTAATTTTTAATTTTTTTAAAAGGAAAGATAACAATTGTTAACGAGAAAAATGAAAAAAAAGTCTAATTTTCTTTGGCATTATCATAAAAACTTTCAAAATTAACTTTAAATATTTTGAAGATTGGGTCCTAACCAACAAGCAAGGTGAGGGGAGTTGCACCATCAGAATATACTCTACTTATTATTATTATTATTGAAATTAATTAGAATATACTTTACTTATGATAATGCAGCAAATGACATATATAAATATTTAAGTTTTTTTTTTGTTTTGGATAACTAAATATTTAATTATTCATCAAAACTTTAGGATACCATCTTGTCCTTTATCACTAATCATTTTGATTGGTCCATTTTTTTCTCTTTTGACCATACCCAATTAAAAATCTTGTACATAATACATAGCTTTAATAAAAAGA